TGTGTGAGTGCACGTTAGCGGCAAAGCTGCGACTAGCTGTGCGTGATGAAAAGCTCCAGATGTTGCCTGCCTTTTAATGTGCAATAAAAAGGCTCAGCTGGGGCAAAAAGCAAAGGAGGCCAATGTGAGAGAAAAGGAGGGAAGGAGGGAATTTCCTTAAAAGAAATAATGGAGGGGTGAGGTCAGGGTGCGAGTCTTTCTTAAATGGCTGCTACCAGAGGGCAGGCTTAACTCCGGAGGCTCCGAGCAGAGGGAGAGGCGGTGGGATAAAGAGGGAGTTGTAACAGAAAGATGAGGGGAAGTATGGGAGAACCCAGGCACAATGGTAATGAGCAAACCCAATACAACCACTAGTTAGTTCTCCTATATTTACAAATGTCTTGTTTTTACAGAAGGTTTTATCCAGGTACAAATATTCAAGAGTCAAATGCTTTTATTGTCATATGCACAACAGCCACCGCTTAGTTTTGCAATATTGTCCAACAGAACACCATATGTGGTTTGCTGTCCTGGCTCCAAGATGGTGGAATGAGCTCCCCATTGACATCAGGACAGCAGATAGCTTACACACCTTCCAGACTGAAAACTCATCTCTTTCGACTCCACTTCGAGCGTTAGAACTATTAACAAAGCACTTATATACTAATAAAGGACTGGCTTACCTAAAGCCAGTTGAGTAGCACTTGAAATGTTTGGCTCTATGAAACCTGATGTACTTTATGATTCTGTTTTCTTCAAGGTTGTGTCTTCCTGGTCGAACGCACTTATTGTAAGTCGCTTTGGATAAAAGCGTCAGCTAAATGCAATGTAATGTAATGTGTAATACTTAAGGTATACAAAGAAATGCAAATGGTGGTGGTACACAATGGTGCGATAACACTGTAAACAATTAGAATAGAAAACAGGTATGTTATTTATTTATGGATCATTTTTTATTAGTGTAACTTTGTTGTATTGATTAATGTATTAATGTGTCTTCTTTAGGGGTTATACATTTGTGTAAAAATGAAAACGAAATGTCAATAAAAAGTTCAAATGAAATACTTTACAGTCGAACAATAATACTACAAATGGTAATATATTAATAATGATGTAGACCAGGGGTACTCAAATACAAATCTTAAAGGTCCAAAATAAATGTTTCAATAAGACAAAGGTCCGTTTATCACGGTCATTCAAACTTTTAAACAATTACAACAAGATTCTTAACACGAGGTTGCAAAAACAAAAATAATCTGTATGCAGCAGTTTTCATTGTTATTGTGTCTGTGCTTGACCCCTCAGAGTCGCAGTGTAAGAGCTGCACAGTTATGAATAAAGGCAGCTGCACCCTCTTTCATTCAGCATTCCCATTATTGCTTTATAAATGTATTCCCCCCTTGTGTGTCCACTGAGGTTCGTCAGGCCCAACACATCTTCAACAAACTCCCCCTTTGCCTCATCATAAAAACTCACAAACACCAGCAACTGAGCATTGTCAGTGGTGTCAGTGGACTCACCCACAGCTAAGGAAATGCACTGTGCATTTTTTATTCCATCACAAAGCTGATGAATCAAATCACCAGCCAGTATTTATGTTCTTCTGGTTGCTGTGGAATCTGAGAGGGGGATTTGCTTGATTTTACCTGTTATTTCCTCTTTTTGTTAGCCTTCAACATGGTCTCCATCACTTCAGTCATGCATTATTTTATACTGCAGTTATTATCCAGTGGAAAGTCCTTACCTACTGGCCTAGTTAAATCAAAGTGGTTACTTTTTTTTGGCTGGGCAGTGTAGTTTTACACACCGTCTTATTTGACTTTCTCAGGACTTAAAACTGTTTTTTGGGGGCAGACCCCCTCAAAGAAAAAAATATATTTACACACGTAAGGTCATCATCTTAATAGTTGTGTATGCTCATCCGCATCAAGTTGACATGTCTATTACAGCTGAATGCGGCGATTACCATCTTGTTCAGCAAAACGCCTCACAAACAGATCAACAGATCAACAGCTTTAGTGCGTTTTGATTCAATGCTGAGTACAGCCAAACTGACAGTCTCTTCTCTGTCAGTGTAGACCTCAAATACCTCATTCCTTCAGTGCTTGGGTCAGAATGCTTCTCGTTTTGCGCCGTCCAGTTCAAAATGAAATCGCCGCCAATCGTATGTCCACGCTCGCGCCAGGACCGGGGGAGGGGTTACATGACGTGCATCTTGTGCTGCATTCACTTGCACTCGGACATTAGAGACTTTCTCTCATAAATGTCCGATGAGCCACAACTTTTCTTTCAAAACAAAGCTGCCAACTGGGGTGGCAGCTGGGGTGGCAAGGCCTATTTTTAGGGTGTCAGTTGCCACCCCGGTAGGTGAAACTAGGCTACTAGCTACAGTACAGATGGAACTAGATGAGCTGTTAACTCTCGCTCTGAATGTATTTATTTAAAATTCTCGCTCTGACTTAGACAGGTTGAAAGAGACACACACATTTTTCCCACCCGCATTCCGCGAAGACCCGCCCTACTGTGCCTCTGATTCGCAGATTGTTTGGGGGGAAAAAACGCTGACTGGATGCTGAATGTGATTGGACCAAAGCGTTGACACACACAGGTGGAACACAGTGGAACAGTCAGACATGCAGAGCGCTGTTTGCAGTGGACATAGCGGAGAATTTTGACTCGTTGCGAATGCGTTGTGGCGATGTCTCACATATAATACAGAGAGATCATACATATGAAAAGTATAATTTGCTCAGAGTCCGGAGACAGTGGTGGTTCGGTCCGGATCCGGACCGGAGTCCGTAGTTTGAGGATGCCTGATGTAGACTGTAAACAAATGTATGTGTATTAAATATATATCTTTTTTAGGAGTACACTCAAGAACCACCTTTTAATTTTTAATAAGCTTTTAACAGAATTGTATTTATTGCTATTTTATTCACTCCTGTGCTTATTGACTTCTGTGTTGTTTGTTGATTTGTGTTCTGTTTAAATAAAGTAGTATTTGATAAGCAGGAGGTGTGTAATAACCAGGTGTGGCACAGTTAGCATCACAGGCTGCTGGAGCTGCACCAACACACAGAGATAGAGACGTTTGGACTCAGAGGGAGTCCTCGTCTCCCACTGACCCTCCATTCAGACAGCTTAGTCAAGATTGCCCAATCAGGGGCCTCACCATGCAAACACAACGCCTTTTGTTAGCATGCAACCTCGGAGCTTCAAAAAGAGAATGAAGTGGAGGAGAGAAAGAGAGGACAGAGATGCGGGGTGTGAGCAATGCAGCGGGAGTTGAATGCCAGCAATTAAGGACATGGCCACACTAAGTCGAGTAGATTTGAAAACGCTGTTTATGTGTCAAACGGGGTTTCATCCAACATTTTAGATCATTTTCTAAAAGCTCATCGTCTACACATAACTATAAATTCCACTTGTTCACACACTACATGAACCTCCTCTGGTGGAAGCAAACACTGATACTGGAATGAGAGAGTAGCAGATTTCTTATTCTGACAGTTTGCACACAATCAAGCCGCTCTCCGACTGAAAGACATTCAATATGCTTTTTAGTAGATACATGTCAGTATGCAAACAGTCCACTCCTGCACACAGAAAGTCACATACATAAAACATGAGCTTGCAGTCGGGGCTTAGTGGCTCAGTTATTGCTCCGCTTTGACTTCACAGCTGGCTAAATGAAATACTAAACAGTATGATTGTTATAGGAGCCAGGATCTAGGAGAGGTCCAAGGAAATAAATCATTAAAAGGCAGTGACCTTTCTTTAAATAGCCTTGGTGTTATAGTTTTGGTCATCTAGGGGAGGCTGTGGCTCAGTGGTATAGTGCGCTGAACTTTTAATCAGGGGATAGCAAGTTTGAGTCCCACTGCAGTCAGCATGTCGATAAAAGCGTCTAACAAGTGACATGTAATGTAATCTGTTATCAGAACTGTTTTCTTTATAATTAAAACGTTATAAAATGAACCATGTGTTATTGCAACCTGAGGTACCAATGTATCTAAGCAAATATAAATTAGATGGGGGTCAAACTCAAATACACATTGGGCCAAACTTAAACAATGGGTACTAGTGGAGGGCCGGACTGGTTCAATGTTTATTGCAGAACTTATTGAAATGAACTTATTGCACATATTAAACCTGGAACTAACAAAGATTCAATTATTGCCTATAAAAACAACATTAAATAATCAGCTGCATTCATTTCTTATGGCTCTATCTGCAGCTTAGAGTCATTTCTTATGATTACATTTCTCCACAGGCCAACAACAGCTTCAAAAAAACTATTCCCCTCAGAGAGAAAACCAAACATGCCCTGTTGTCCTGAGAGAGAAAGTGCAGAAGGAAGCATCCATTGAACTCAGTGTGCTGCTCTGTGATGCTAGCTCAGATACTTGGCATCTCATCTTTGGAGCAAGGTCATCAATGTTTGGGCTCAGGCTCTGAGCGGAGGAGACCCTCAGGATGGAGTGAAGGTGTGAGAGCAATATACCGGCGGGCCAGATCTAATAGTAATTAGAAATTATCCTGCGGGCCGAAATTAAATCCACCAAGGGCCTGATTTGGCCCCCGGGCCTCGAGTTTGACACATGTGGTCTACTGCAATTGAATTGACTCATCCATGTCCTTTTAGTAGTCTAATTAAAACTTTATAAAATGAACCACGTGTTATTGCAACCTGAGGTACCAATGTATCTAAGCAAATATAAATTAGATGGCATTACTAGTGTTAAACCCTTCCTTGAAAAAATGAAAAGAGTATATTTATTTCAGTCAAAATGTAACTTCTATCAGTTATGTTCTGTATCACAAATTAAGTAAACAAAATAATGTTTTTTAGGTGGTCTCATTCATACCACAACGGCAAACATGTAGTAAATTCAGCGAGATACTCACAGATAAGGGAGAAAAATACAAAAAATGTCAGCTTAAACTGATAAATACCACAGCCCTATGACTAGCAAGTCACGTGAATACGATACAGAAATAAAGTCATCAAAGTGTGGTACCTGGCTTTGTTAGCTTCTTTAGTGACGTCCCAGGCCCATGTGATGAAGTTCTGGCTCAGGTAGGCGACGATGGAGTCGGCGCACATCATCTGAGAGCAGAAGACGTTGCTGAGGACGCTGTCATCGTTGTGGAGGTAGATGGCCAGCAGCTTCCTCTGAGGAGCACGAGAGGAACAAAAGTGTGTTATATCCTGCACAATAGTCTTCATTTCTGTCTTTGTCACTTTACGGGGAGAGAAATGGGGCGGGAATGAGGGGTGTTTTATCCGATCCAATCCATTTTATTTATATAGCACATTTAAAAACAACAGAGTTGAACAAAGTGCTGTACAAAAACATAGCATAAATACATAAAAACAGACAGGACATGAAACAAATGTAATACGAGACAATGAAACCAGATCAGAAGCCACCGACTGAAAAAACTCTCCTATACTGTATGACGTTAAAACAATACAAAACACTAGTAAGGTAAAAAATAAATAAATAAATAAAAACCACATTTTACAGCACAAGTGTCACCTGGTCTGTACAGTAAAAGCCAAGGGAAATAAGTGGGTTTTTAAACGAGATTTAAAAACAGGCAGAGTTGGAGCAAGTCTAACATGGAGGGGTAATTCGTTCCATAACTTTGGAGCTGCAACAGCAAAGGCTCTGTCTCCCCGCTGCTTTAGCCTCGATTTTGGGACTACCAGAAGGAGTCTGTCAGCAGACCTCAGTGACCGTGTGGGTGTGTAAGGTTTTAAAAGATCTAGTTGAATTTGTTTGTTCATGTTTTAAAAAAGTACATTGTATACTTGTAAAGAAGTCAAAGTCAACTTTAATGTCAATTTGTCTGTGTGTTTGTACGGACAGAGACATCGAAATAACGTTTCCAACAATCCCGAATACAAAAATGTATACAAACATAATTCTGCTTTTGTTCAAATACACAACCATATATTCCAAATGTAGGGAGATAACAATTTACCGTGACAAACAATATTAAGAGCAACAAATGAAGGATTGTAAATTCACATTTATTTGTATATTATTTTGTAATAGTTTGGACTTAATGTTAGTTGAAAGGATGATCATTTTTGTTTTACTTAATGCTGTGTAGATGCATGTTGTAAATAGATTTTTCGTACAATACTTTGGCAATAATGTATGTCAAAATGTTCATGCCGATAAATACAAAAATTGGAATTGAAAAGGTGGAGAATAAAAAGAGAAACAGGTTTGTTTTTGTCAGTGTTGGAACAAAAAGTAGTAAAGTTGGCTGTTAATAGACAGTTGTTCAGTTTTGTTCAGTTATTTTGAGTAAAATGGACTTAAATGACCAGCTTTATGACCAACACAAACACATCGAAAAATGATATTAAAAAACCCCATTGTTCTCAGATATTAGTGTGGAATCTGTCAGGCACATGTGAGATCTCATCCCCACATTACATGACCATAAAATGACACGAGGGTCCGCTGGTTCAGAGCCAACATGACTTCTTCAGACCAACGCAAGGCCACAACTGGGTAAAAAAAAAGCAAATACCACACAAAATCAAATGGAGAGCGGTGTAAATAAAACTTCTCAAGGAGGCGTCGAAGATATGGAGAAAACAAAACAGACAAATCACTCTATTTATTTTACACCAAATGCCAGCAGCCTGTTCAGGTTAGTCGCGGCAGGGCCAGACAATATTGACGAAGCTCCAAATCCGAGGATATTGACACCATCATATAAGCCCGGCAGATTCTCCCTCCTGACGATCTAATTAAAAAGCAAACACACCCACAAACATAAAAGGTTCCAGGGGACAATGTTGGAAATAATGCTCTCTAAATTACATGTCACTTCTCTTGCTATATAAGAACAAATAAAAAAAAACTCTCAGTCTTTTTTTCAACTGTGGAAGGGGGGAGTCAAGAGGTCCGTTTCTCAGGAGCTGTAATCTAGGCTACGTACGCCAAAAAGCAAAAAAAAAATCTACACAGGGCGTAAAAACGTGAGGGGAAGTGAAAGGAGAAGTTGTGCTATACTGTGGCCTGTGTAGAATAGGAATGGGAGAGCACTGCTGTGTTTGCTCAACGATTAGCGCTTTAGAATAATCTCCAGGGCTCCTAGAGAGAAGGAGCCGGGGACTCATTCATCGGGCCCTGAAAAGATTAAACACTCATGCTGAGAAGACAAGCAAATTCAGTCTTGAGAGAGGAATGAGTGTGAGGGGAGGGAGAGGTTTACAACATGAAAAAAAAAACCTGATACAAACACTGACGGCCCAACACACATGGAAGACAACTGAACTTTTGAAAGAACATCCATAACATTCATCTGTTTGCAACTTATATATATATCAATATTCCAGCGTTAATTTTGGCAGCTATTTTTGATTTAGTCTTAAGACGAAAATGGTTATTAGTTTTAGTCACATTTTAGTCCTTTTGATCCTTCATAGTTTTAGTCGACGAAAACTCAAAACGTTTTAGTCGATGAAAAATCATTACATTTTAGTCAACTTTTAGTCAAAATGTTCAAAAACTAATTCAGTTAGGCAAATACAGGAATCTGAAATTGGAATCAAGGTGACAGCATCAAGTGTTAAAAATCGTAAAGCAACATTTCACTCTCTTAACACTTCACTTGTGTAATATCTAGGGACGGGTATCGTTAAGGTTTTTAACGGTACTACTACTCTTAAAAATATGTGTGCACGCCGCTGAAGGGTGTATGTTAGGCCCCGCCCCCACACACAGAGAGAGAGAGAGAGCGTTAGGCCCCGCCCCCGCACACAGAGAGAGGGAGAGAGTTAGGCCCCGCCCCCGCACACAGAGAGAGAGGGAGAGCGTTAGGCCCCCGCCCCCGCACACAGAGAGAGAGGGAGAGAGTTAGGCCCCGCCCCCGCACACAGAGAGAGAGGGAGAGCGTTAGGCCCCGCCCCCACACACAGAGAGAGAGGGAGAGCGCTAGGCCCCGCCCCCGCACACAGAGAGAGAGGGAGAGCGTTAGGCCCCGCCCCCACACACAGAGAGAGAGGGAGAGTGTTAGGCCCCGCCCCCGCACACAGAGAGAGAGGGAGAGCGTTAGGCCCCGCCCCCGCACACAGAGAGAGAGGGAGAGTTAGGCCCCGCCCCCGCACACAGAGAGAGAGGGAGAGCGTTAGGCCCCGCCCCCGCACACAGAGAGAGAGGGAGAGAGTTAGGCCCCGCCCCCGCACACAGAGAGAGAGGGAGAGCGTTAGGCCCCGCCCCCACACACAGAGAGAGAGGGAGAGCGCTAGGCCCCGCCCCCGCACACAGAGAGAGAGGGAGAGCGTTAGGCCCCACCCCCACACACAGAGAGAGAGGGAGAGCGTTAGGCCCCGCCCCCGCACACAGAGAGAGAGGGAGAGCGTTAGGCCCCGCCCCCGCACACAGAGAGAGAGGGAGAGCGTTAGGCCCCGCCCCCGCACAGAGCGAGAGAGGGAGAGCGTTAGGCCCCGCCCCCGCACACAGACGAGACACAGGAAGATCGCTCTTCTGGAGTGAAGAGAGCGGAAATAATGATATTGCAAGTTAGAAACGTAAGATGCATTTTGACAGACCAGACGGACGGGGGAAAATATCCTGCATTTTGAATGTCCGATAATCCACCATTAACACCTTAGTCCCGTCCCGTCTCGTCAACGAAAACTAAATATACATTTCGTCATAGTTTTTATTATCAAGAATCTATTTTTAGCTCGTCATCGTCTCGTCTTAGTCGTGTAAAAAAGGTCGTTGGAGAACATCTTTCGTCATAGTTTTCGTTGACGAAATTAACACTGCAATATTCCAATTACTTGTTTATAGACTATTCTGCACTATTTCTACTATATTCTATTTTATTGTATTTACTTGCACTATTATCTGTGTTATTGTGTTGCACTGTTGGAGGAGCCTGTGACCTAAGATGTTCATTGTCATAACTACACTACACTTTGCACACATGACCATAAAAGCCTTGAATCTAAAGGATAATAGAGTGCTGCATGGAAGACCTATTTTTTGTAAGCTGACCCTGAAGGTAGCATCTCCCTGTGATACTTAAACGTTTTGTGCAGCTTGATAGTCTCACTCTCCACATATTAACACTACTTTTATAACGGTTAAAAGCAATCTTAAAAGTAAAAAGCTAACATTAAACTATTAAAGAACACTATGTTATCAGTTTTATTGTGTTGCACTGTTGGAGGAGCCTGTGACTGTAGCTTTGCACACATGGACATAAAAGCCTTTTAATGTTGAATCTAGGAAATCTGAAAAGATGCAGAGATGCTCCTGTGCTTGGTCGAGTTTGTCAGAAGTGTAACGGCCCGTCCACACAGCGGCGTTGGAAGATTCTTACGCTTCTGCCCATTCACTTTGAATGGGGTGACGTCACTTTTCGCCGAACTGCATTGTGGGAAGCAGAGCGGAGCTTTCCTGGCGTTTCAAGCTGCAAAAGTTGAGCAATGTTCAACTTTTGAAGCTTCTGAAGCTTTCGGTGGAAGCGTCAGCCAATCAAATCATATGCCAGTACAAGCTCTAGCCAATCAAACCGCTGCTTGTGTGTCAGGGGCGGGAGATTCATGTGATTGGTTGTTGGTCGAGCTTCAGACACGCCCAGCTCCAAGCTTTTTTTGAAGCTGTAGTGTGGACGGGCCGTAACAGTGACACCGTAGATTTTATGGGAACCTCTCTACGAGAAAAAAAGGAGGTTCATGTTAACTAATGTGAAAATATATATGATACAGAAAACAGCCTCGTACAGAGCCATTGGAATACATTGCCGGTGCATATTATTCCAAAGATTGGTTAAAACGTCACAATATCTCCAAATCAACAATAATAATTGCTAAATAAAAACTGTGTCTGTGTGTATGTATACTTTAAACTATGAGTTAATGTGTAAGAAACAAAAAGGTACACAAGGGTAGAAGTAGAAATCTAGCTTGGCAAATAGTTTTACTTAATTTATATCATTTTCTTGTAATTAAATATGTCTAACAGTACAGGATAGATACATATACAATTTACAGTGATATCAGACGTGGACTTATGTTGGACAAAGACTACTTATGTTATTATTAATATGATTTATTTATCTGTATGTACCTGTAAAGCATTTTTGAGCATTGTGAAACATACATTTTCATATTTCTACTATTATATGTATTAT